GTTTTGTTGTGTGTATTAAAATGTTGTGTATTTTCATGTACCTTCAATTTTTTTTATGCATAGCTTTATGAAAAATAATACTTATACTGTTATGGTTCTCCCCTTTTGGACTTTGAGTTTTTAGTTTTCAGTTATCTAAGTAATTCTCTTTTGTTGATCTTTGGTTTATTTTCCATTTTGTGTTATATTTAAGCTGTCTTGACTCTCTGTTGCCCCCTTGTGCTTGTCTCCTTTCCCCTAGCTCCCTTCTAGTCACTTCCATCCACACCTGCTCCATATCAGCTGATTACACCAGTCTTTGTTCTGTCTCCCATCTATACACTCCCTGTGCAGTTCTTCAGTGCTGGTTCTGGCTCCCCATATGTGTTTTCTCGCCCTTTTACTACACTAAACCCTAAAAGAACTCATCTCTGCTTCCCTCATGTCTGCATTTGGGTCCTCAACCAAACTCCACCCTCACATTGACGTATACATGTTTTTACAAAGATATACATGATGAAGATCAATGTTCCAGTGATTTTATCTCAGGAGATTTTCAACTGAGCTGAGAAACACATTCAAGCTGCACTAACCCAGAATTTGCCAAGAAAACAAGTAGAATATTGTTCTAAACCTGTGGGTGTCACACAATGAGCCGCCTGATTCTGCGGCTCTATTCTTTTTTGTTAACACTGAAGATCTAATCCAGTTGGAGTCGAGGTTTTTTCAGGTCAAACATCCACCTTGGCCCCCATCTAATGAGAAACAGGCCACCACGACTATTTCTGTCTTCCATCTTTGGTATTTTCTCGTCTCCCCTCAGGCTTTATGTGAGCATAAAGACCAGAGACAAGACAAGACCAGAGACAAATGCTCTGACTGGACAACGGAGTTTAAATGCTGATGAAATGACTTGCTATCTCATTTCTAGAAAAGAAAAAAAACAACATAAACATCAATCTCACTTAAGAAAAATCTCTGTGCAGAAGGCAGAAGACTATCTTTCTTTCAAATAAAAGAAACTTCTTTTCTCCAGTTCTCAGACTTAATGCCAATTGTCGACTTTGGATTCAGTAAAACTACAGTATTTCCTGGCATTTAGACCCAGAGAACCTTGGCATCTCTATGGAATCCCTTACAAAACATGCAATGCTGCTGTTGTCCTCTCATTTTTTTTAAACCAACGGAAATGGCTATTGGTTCCACACCTGTCAAAATTAAAGGCTGTCATCAAGTCAGTGATGGACCTTTGCAGGTATAAGCATAGTAATTACCCTGACAGAGAGGGTTCTCATTACTCATCTTCACACGCTGTATCCCTCAGCTCCACATTCGCGAATGCTTTGGTGTTTAAGCTGGGATTTTCCACTGGTTTGGGGTATCTGCCGTCACACCATTCTTTTTATTCTCCTTGAGCAGGGAAAGGATTGTGTCTGAATGAACATCTGGTTTCGCAGATTTGGATGCCTCGACTAGCCTCGTCTCAGTTGTTTATGGACATTCTGAGGCCTTTAAAGAGGTTTGCCACATCGGCCAGCTCTCTGTTAGAAGTGGAATTGAACCCAGATAATTATTTGCATGTGATATTTGATTTCTTTAAGCAAATTCAAGATGTTTCTGTTTTCTCTACAATGCGTGACAAAATGACATGGAAGTGTTTAAGGGAAGCTAGCAACTTCATTCTTGAAGCCAACACTAAAATAATAATCCTAAACAGAGATAAACTGAATCTGGTAGGATATTAGTAGTGTTTTTAGAGTTTTTGGGGGCTGTAGGTCAACAGTAGACAAGTTTGTATTGCTTGCTGACTGTATACAGTTGTGTCAATTTGATTTTGTTAACTAGCCCAAGGAATTTGGACATTCTAACGTTCAAACAGAACAAGATTGAATCACAGTGTGTGTTGTAGGTGTGTATTTTACAGCCTTGTTACTCTATACACTGGCTGATGGATCGTGTGGCCCTTCCTCCTCACTTGAAACAGCTGATTTATGTCCGGTCCTGGACACTTGTGCTCTGTGGCTGGAATCCAAGGAATGCTAAAAGATCCCCCCCCCTCCTCCTGTCCCATGCACATGCAAACAAATGGAGCAGGCGCCTAGCTGGGCTGATGAAGGCCCACTAATGCTCCCACTGCGGGGCAAGGAGGCAGAATGTCAGGAATGCAAGAGGCAACACAATAAATACGCTTTATAGTTCTAACTCGCAGCTTGTGGTTTATTTGTTACCTACTGGTACTGTTCGAAAGTGTTAAAACCATTTTGTATCTCTGCACGGTTCTGATGAAAAACAAAAAAAGCTCCTTTCAATTAATCACAGACAAAAAAGGCAGGTTATTACAAGCTTCTATTTTAACTCATTATTTCAGCCAGGCTGAGGTCTGAAATCTGATTAGGCTATTGCAACACCTTCTCCATTGCCTTGTCTGCCATTCTCTAGATTTGCTGCTGAATTTGGAATTGCGACCCAGTTTAGACCAAGTTTCAACTGACAGATAAATATTAATACACATTTTACTTTCAAATACTTAAAAACGTACAAAATAGTAACAGTCTCCGCCGTGCTTCACAGTTGGTATCTGGTGTTTGTGCTTGTGCTGTTTAGTTTTCTCGTAAAGGTATAGAGGACAATCTAGAGGAAGAGGATTAGGGCCACTGAAAAAAACAAAAAAGTTAACTGATTTTTAAATTTTATTTCAGTTTAACATGGGAAAAAAAGTCAGAATTCTGACTTTAATCTCAGTGACACCAGTGACACATTGGTGGAAAATTAAGGAATTAGGCAACTTTTTACGTTCCCGAGGGGTCCCCTCATTAATGGATTAGCAGAAGGTCATTAAAACAAGAGAGCTAGTCTCTAAAACAGACATGGCTAAGGCTTGATGCTAACATGTTTGTTAGCTGTCAGAATTCTGAGAAAAAAGTCAGAATTCTGATTTTTTTTCCCCATATTAAACTAAAATAAAATTTAAAAATCAGTTAACTTTTTTTTTTTTTTTCAGTAGCCCTAATCCTCTTCCATAAAAATCTTATATTTCCGGGTGGATCATCTCAATAAGTTGTCCTCCTAACTGTCGATCATTCTTGTGATGTGTTTACGTAAGGCCGTCCTACATGCTCGTCCCGTTAGCTATCTTTTTCTGCGCATGCGCACTTTCAGGTGTAGATGTGTGTTGAGCTATATTTTCATCCAGTCAAGCTCGCCTTTCTCACCGCATTTCGTTGAAAATGGCCAAGAGTCATAAGCGGAAAAAGTGTCTACGAATTGTATGACAAGAAAAGAAAGGCCACAGAAGAGAAAAACAAGACCAGAATGTGTGTAGCGCTGGCAAAAAATGAAATGTGCAGTTTAGAAATACAAGGTGGAAAATTACTTAACACAAGAAATGTCAAGGACACTCAGGAGGTGGATGAAGGAGGATCGGATGGTGGCTAACCAGCAAACCGTCACTGTCAGCTGCACACCTGTCAGCTACTCATTTGTAAGCAGGTGTGCTCCATGTTGACATTTCTCAAATTTTATTCTTTTGGCTAATGACAAACTAAGTCCAGTACAGCGGTATGGTAATAATTACTGATCATTACAGGTTCAGACAGTCGTTGAAGCTCACCTTTCTCACCGCAGTTCTTTGAAAAAGGCCGACGGTCGTGAGAGAAAAAGTGTCTACGATAAGAAAAGAAAGGCCTCAGAAGAGGTAGATATATTCCTGAATGCTTTGTGCGGAAAGGTCTTCACGCAAAGCATTATGGGATTTCCTGTCACAGCGGCCCGCTATCGCTACCTGAAAGCGGCAACTAATAACAAAGATGGTGCAGGCCCTGCACAGTGAAGGACAAGTTACATGACCTGTCTGAACGGTAAGTTAACCGAGTTTGCTATAAAGTCCACTATATAGTCCCCGCTCTATATAGTGATTGAAGGATTTAGGGGGTAGGGCGGATGTTCGGGCACAGTAAACTTGTATGAGCTGTGAGAACAGCACATTTTGGAGAGGGTGGAGAGGGCGGGTCTTTTAAAAAAAATTGCGAAATTCCTCCACAATACCTTGAAGCCAGTGCTTGTGGTCAATCTCTAATTTGATTTTATCTGTTAAAAATGATAGCTCCTTATATTCTGTACAGTCTACTCTGCAAACTCAACTAACACTATCTGTGCAAACTTAGGTCCCATACCATGTTCTTTAAAGATCAGGGGCTTTCAAGCTTCCTGATCAAAGATCCACTGGCTTTCTACATGAGGTCAAAGGTCAACAATGACTTTGCTTCGGATTGATTAGCAAAGAAAATAACATCCTATGCTGCTTTAGTTAATTGATTGAATAATGTTTAGTAGAAACTAGTTAATGAAATACAAATTAAAAGCTTTGTAAATCTTCCAAGTATAAACCTGTGATGTCATTATTTATTTTAGAATTGGTATTGCATGTTTTTTCTTGCAAAATGAAGAAAACCTTTTGTGAAATAGAACTCTTCAGATATGAGCTACACATTTCTCACATTTTGTAAGTAATGCACGATCTGCAACAGTGTAAAGTCTCCCCACCTAACTCACCATAGCCATATCCTGGAGACGTCTTGGCTTCACAGTTTTCTCGGCTCAAGTGCAGGGTTTCAGAAAGATTCTGTAGTTTTGTAGCAAGATTTCTTCTAAAATTCATAAAAATTAATCCCTTGTCTTTTGCAATTTTTAAATGGAAGCTTATGATGACAGTACTTATGCTTTACTTGTGAAAACAAATCTGTTTATCAAGCCCAGGGACATTAATTCTCAGTGCTCTATTAGCAAATAGGACACATCAAAACGTTTTGATGATGACCTGTTGTCAAAACTCATATGTTGTCATCATGGTTCCAGTTATTTGGGTGTTTGCAGAATTATCTTCTCTCAATGCTAATTTATTTTTTGCTGACACTGTTTTGAGAAATTCCAGTTTGCTAAAGAAATAAATATATATATTTGTATAAATTTACTGCAAAATAAAGACAAAAAGGATAGGAAAAATTAATTTATTTGTGTTACAATGTCAACAACACAAATATGCATAGTGTTTGGTGAAATAGTAAATAGACCAAAGAACTGTGTGATGAACAAAAAAAGTGCAATGTTAAATAAATGGAAAATGAATGATCTACGTTCTCCAAGTCTGATAATGATGAGTAAAAAAAAAATCAAACGAATCCAATCCAAGGTCTTTGCAGACTAGAGATCAACATCAATGTAAAATGTTTATTGTAGCTGGAAATCAAAGGCACAACAGAGATGTAGCTGTAACACAAAAAGCACATGCATCATGAACATGCTGCTGGGATGGCAAACAAAGCAAAGAAAAAAAATAAAGACTCCATAGAAGCTAGAATAGTCATAAGTTTTGACAATAAAAACATAAGCAGCTTCGTCTACTGTAGCTGATTTTCATCTCAATGATATATCCAGACACCATTTTGATTACTCATAAGTCTTTCTCTCCACATGGCTATATTTTGATAATTCCCTTATTAATTGAACGGCGCCACAGTGCAGCTTAAGGCCGGCTCTTTGCTGCAGGTTTATCCATAATGTTGAGCACATCGTCCAGGATGGATGGGCCCAGATCCAATTCAAGGGAGAGGAGCGACCCCGTGATCTGGGAGAGGGAATCCTGCGAGGTACTCTTCTCCTTGGAAAGCTCAAACTCGAAATCACTTATGCGGCCCTCTTCCACACCACTGTCCCTGTCCACCCAGTCTTTATTGCACTTAGAGAGCTCCTCCTTAAAGCCAAGGTTAATGTCATTGCTGAAGTATCCGTAGCCATTGCTGGTAAGACTTCTGTTTTGGTTGCAGATGTTTTTCTGGAAGTCCTCCTTATTATCGAAGCTGTCGTAGCTGTCACTGCTTGTGTTGCTGTTCAAGCTCCCGTTAGCTTTACGTAGGCTGTCGGTGTGGCCATTGATGTAATAGGACGGTGGCTTGTCAAATCGGCCCTCACTCTTGTTTAAAATGTTAGCTTTAGCAACCGCCTTCATGGACGACTTTTTTGTGTCTTCCAGCAGATCTAAGAGGACGTCAGGTTTTGACTGGAGCTCTGTAAAAGGAGACGAAGGCTCGCTTTCAAAGACATCCATGGACCTCAGCAGGGCGTCCATCTGCAGAATCTCCACCTCATCAGGATTTTCAGCTTTCAGTGGAGACGACGGGCTCATGAAGTCCTCCAGTGGATCTGGTGTCATGGGGAAAACCGTGGAGGAGATCAGTGGAAGAGTGAGGGCCTGGCCTCCACCGATGGTTGGAAGGGAGATTGCATTTTTGAGCACTGGTGAGGGGGTCTCAGCAAAGGAGGCATCACCTGTGCTGTGTGCTCGCAGGTACTCATTTTGGGTCCCATAATGAGGGTGGACATCCTTTTTTCCAGGTAGAAGCTCATACTTCCCCTGAAGGAAGGACATGTCTCCAAAGGCGTCTCTCTCCCCACCTTTGCCGATGTGGATGGTATGACGAAAGTCCCCAAGTGGTGGGCTGATCATGTCAGGGGACAAGATATCTCTCAGCCGACATTTTTTCCCCTTCTTGCTGTTAGCCGGCTTCAGGTATATGGGGGCTTTTGCAGGCATGGCTGTTTCTTTGGAGGTTGAGTCAGATTGTAGGACAAGGTGGCCGAAAACGCTCCGTCAGGTCTGAACGTTATGGTTCCCCAGGAAATGGGCTTCAGTTACATTCTCAGAAACACAGGCCACTTAGAGGAGTTCAAAAATAACTGCTGCTGCATCGATCTGGCAGAGGTTCGTCAGTCAGGGCTGGTGATTTTCAGCAATGGCCACTTTTCTGAAATTACAGAGAAATGAGATAGAAAAATGTGAGCACTTTTCAAGAAGTTATAGAAAGATATATATACTATTACTCATCTATTCAGATACAGTGTCATTCCAAAGAAAAGTATGTTAATTTGAATAAACTACCCCTACATAGTATGCATTAAAGGAAAACCTGGGGCTGAAGTTAAACCTTTACCAGCAGGATGTGTTTTCTACACATTTGATAATGTAGCATTCATGATTTGATCACCTGCTAAGACAGATGGCTAAATGTTTTTGGATATATCAAGAAATTTTCCAGGCATGAGCACCGCAAGCATTTTTATTATGCCTATGTCTGAACTGAAGAAGTTTCAAACACACTAAAACATATTTGTTTAATACTAAAAGAGAAACCAATGCTGATAATTATCTGATGATTTCTGACACCTTTGATCCCAATATGCATGCACTACTTGAAATTAAAATGAAAAAAGATCAAAATCGGTTTTATTTCCAATAAACCAACTCACCAAGCAGGACAGGAAAATGTTTGACAGTAGGAGAAGCCATTTTACAATAAAATTAAGCATACTGTATAAAAAAAAGTCCTGTTGCATCTTTCTTTATGTGTTACTTACATTCTACTTTAACTTAGATTTTTAATAACAGAACAAACTAATAGGTTTTTCCTCCTTTCAAGTTCTGGAAAACAATCTACAAATGACAGAAGTTACTTTAATTAAAAACAGATTTTATGTCAATCATCTCTTAGAAGTTTACCTGAAATCAAAGAGCAACTAAATACAATTTAAAACATGCTTGTAAAACTCGGCATGCAATTCTGTTGTACAAAGATGAAATATAATAGACAAAATGTTAGCAGATAATGATATTTCCCAATAACCATTTTATCAGTATTGAGTTTTCTACTCTGAGCAAAAAGTGGTGCGCTAATGTCACTGCAAAACAAGGAAGTCCAAAGAGCAAATAGGTGTAACAAATCCTGATTTTCCAAAAATGAAATATTTATTTAAAAAAAAGTTAACTGATTTTTAAATTTTATTTCAGTTTAACATGGGAAAAAAGTCAGAATTCTGACTTTTTTCTCAGAATTCTGACTTTAATCTCAGAATTCTGACTGAATTCTGACAATAAAAAAGTCAGAATTCTGAGATTAAAGTCAGAATTCTGACTTTTTTCCCATACTATACTGAAATAAAAAAAAAAAATCAGTTAACTTTTTTTTTTTTTGAGTGGCCCTAATCCTCTTCCATAGTAACCAGTAGTCTAGTTGTAAAAAAAAAAAAAAAGAAGAAGGGGGATGGTGGATATATATTTTTTTTTTTTTGAAACATACTTACCCTAATTAATATAGTCTATTAACTTAAAGCAATATGCATTGTATGGTTGTTGCATGTCAGGTACGCCGGTCATTGACCTTGACCAAGGCATCTTACAGTAGAACTGCAGTCTGTCCCTGGACTGGCATGGGTATCACTGCCCCTACATAGTTAGGAACAAATGCAGAGGACACATTTCCCACTGGGATCAGCCTCATAGTCATGGTAGGCCACTTATTTGATTTTTATTTATTTTGCTCAGGCTACTCGTAAGTAGCCTGACGTAGTCCTACTCAATTCTAGTCAGAATATGAGTCTGATACTGCTCCATAGAGCTGTGATTATGGGGCGTGTTTCGAACGAACCAGGAAAAAAAAATGCCTCTGCACTCAATTGGATAGACCTACAACCAATAAGAGCAACGGAGTGCGTGACGTATGTTAAGCGACCAAGGGAGCCAGCTGATAAATTAAACTTTTGCCGAATCCCGTAGGAAGGACGCCAAAAACATCTTTCTTTTCAACAAATGCCTTGATCGCATTTCTCTGTTCCTCTTTTAAAATTAATTTGCTGTCGATATCTTCTAGAACAGACCTAATAGCAGAATCTACACACCTCAACTCTCCAGCGGCAGCCATTGTTGTTGTCACCCATGCGCGCTTTGGTCACGTGGTTGATTACGTTACTGTTGATCAACTGTCCATCATCGTATAAAGCCCGCCCTGACAATTTGATTGGCCCGACCAGATATTGGGCGAGCATACTCGCGCTACTATTGAGCAATGCCAGACCGAACTTCCCGACCTCAAACGTTGTGGGCGGGACTAAGTTCGGAATGGCACCCAGGCTAACTCGTAAGTCCACAGTGCGCCAAATGTTGAAAGGTCGATATTATTGCTATTATTACTGTTATATATTACTGTTAATATATAGTCGAAATGTTACACATTCAGTGATAAAATGTCACAGGGGATGGTATGGGGGGATGGTCATTTAAGAAGAGGGATGATTTTTAAGATTTTTTTTAAAAAGGGGGATGCCATTCCCCCTAATCCCCCCTTAACTCGAGTACTGGCTGTAACACTTCAACTGCACTTGTGGAAATTATCCATTTATTGAGCATATTTTTTTATGCATGGAGCCTCAAAGTTGCCAATAGTTTTTTAATCATATCCTTAAACAAAATTTTAAAATAAATAAATCTTTGCTCCATGTTTTAGTTGGTAGTCAGTTTAGATGCTACATTGTTAGACCCAAAGGGAATCACTACTGGAGCCTTATGTATCTACACCATCAATATGGAACAGTGTGATTGAGTTCATTTTCATAGAAAGAAATCTAGTCACTAAGATGAGCCAGAAATAAATTCTCTGCATCCTTAAGGAATTAGAGAAAAAAATCCTTTTGCTTATCTTGCATTTTAGAGCATCGGGGGATCAGGCCTAGGACTCCAGATTTTGCTCCTGTATTAACATCTACACATCAGAGCCTCTTTTGGCCTCTGCCAATTCTAGATGTGCTAATGTGGAACAGCTGGACTGAAGGCTTGGAGAGACTAGAGGGGGACTTTAAAAGGATCAGAGCAGGGCAGCTTGTTTTTGGAGTTAGCTACTGCAGAGACACGCATGCAGATAGAATGAACTGGGCCAGAGGAGGGCAAAGAGGGGAGGGGCAGAGTTTAAAGGGGTTTATGGGGATTGTGTGAGATAAGAGGCAAGAATTATAGAGCGATGGGATCTTAGGAGAGAATTCCATGCTGATCGTGAATGAAGATTTCTTTGAAGAAGTGATCTTTTGTTAGCATAGAAATATTAGCTCAGCTACAAAATACATACCAGATAAATAGCTTTTAATACTGTGCAAGGTGATTAATGGCGGATTGTTTCTATTTCAAACCTTTTCTAGAACGTCATTAAGTTTGGAGCCAGTTTAATGTGGGATTAAAAATACAGGGGAAAAAATCTGTCTGACCACTTAAAGACAAAACTCAAACAATCTGTGGTAGATTGGAGGTTACAGGCTGTAAGAGCATGAGGTTGAGATGTGAGTAAGACAGGAGCTTGTCCATTTACAGGCATATTTAATCATATGAAGTCTGTCAGTGGTGACTGTCTGACAAAGTGCCTGGCGAGACTGCTTCACACCTAACACTTCACTCAGAAAAAAACATCCACATTCCGGCTGCATCCAAGCGACCTGCAGCTTCGGCCTTATCTAGGTCACTTTACAAGTTTGTTTGTGCCCAGAAGGGACATCAGGTCATCAACACTTTTTGTGTATTTGAATCCAAACAAATGGGTTGATTCAAATCTCCCTTTGAATCCATTTCAAAGTGTCAATAAAGCTCCACCGCTATTTAAAAACATGTTTTAAGAGGTGAAACATCAGTTTATCACTCAGCGTTAAATATAGCTGTTGCAGATAGAAAGGATGCAGGATATTTTTGAGTGTGTTGAATGGGAACTTAATTCAAGGGCTGCTAAGAGCGTTTATGCGAGGTGCCAGATATAGGCACGACATCTGCAAGGCAGCAAGTGTGTGAGGAATCAGGATGACATACGGGTTAGCTGCTGCGTTTCCTCGAGAGAAGGAGGGACTGTGCAAAATTGACATTTATTTTTTTTTACTTTAAACGACCTTGGATAAGAAGTGCTCAACTTTGCAAAAAACTCTATATCTGTAGAGTATTAACTTTTGCATTACAGTTCCGTACACTAGATGTTGAAAAATAACTTGTGGCTGAAACATGTCTGAGCCTTCTGAGCTTTTAGTCTTATCTTTAGAAATCACAGCCCTCATTCTCTAACCATTGCAAATAGAAATGACTTATTTTGATATTTTCTGACACATTTCTAGAGAAAATGTTTCCAATATGGATACAAGTTTTTAAGCCTGAAGGACTGGCCTTCAAGTCAGCCTTCCTGCTGGTGGCTCATTTTGGCTTATAAAAGAAAAAACAACAAAATTTAATGTCTGATAAACTTTCATCTGTTTTATCAAAACTAATCTAAAAATGTTTCTATCTTACATTATAAGCTGGTGCATCAACAAAAACATCCTACCTTCATCTACTGTAAAAATAAGGCTATTGACTGCATTTCATCAAACACTCAGGTGGGTCACATCTTTAGGATACGGTATGTGTCGCATTTGTTAATGAATTTATATAAAAAGTGTCATATTAACATTGTTCTACTGCTTCCCGTTGGGATATGTTATTTATTGCAAGGGGGAATCACCTTCTATCGTAAGTATGGATATTTTCTCATATTCAAGAATTTCCTGACCAAATGGGTATAAAGTATAGCGAAAATGAAACAAAAAAAAAGGTTGTGCTGCCATCAGTTGAGCCGCTCTAAGTCTTCAGCTTGATAAGGTTAACTAACCCCCCGATTCATTTAGATGGACTGGATCAAGTTATTATTTTGCTTTTGCTTCAACAATTGCAGCAGTTTGGTATATACAGTATATATATATATTAGGGATGGGACGATTTATGAAAACCGTCCGAACCGTTTGGTTCGACTGTCTCGATTCGATTCGCGTGTGTTTCGTTCGGTTCATGCGTGTACACTCCAGAGCAGAAGGTGGCGGTACTGCGACCAAAGCCAACCACCAGTGGTAAACACGAAGAAGAAGAAGCGAAGCAGCTT